CCCCCAGTCTGTTGGAGAAGACATGGTCTCTGACTCTGGGGACCCCCAGTCTGATGGAGGAGACATGGTCCCTGACTCTGGGGGCCCCCAGTCTGATGGAGGAGACATGATCCCTGACTCTGGGAGCCCCCAGTCTGATGGAGAAGACATGGTCCCTGACTTTGGGAGCCCCCAGTCTGATGGGGAGACGCAGTCACTAACATCTAGGAATTCCCAGTCTGATGGAAGAGATGTTGTTCCTGACCACTGGGAACCCCCAGTCTGATAGAGGAGACATAATTCCCACCACCTAGAAACTTCCATCCTATTGGAGGAGATTGTCTCTATTTCAATTTGAGAGACAAATTCCAGCCTCTGATGGTAGAAATTCTGTCCTCAGTCTTACTGTGATGCATCCCCAGTGTCTAGGATGACAGTCTGAAGAGGGAGGCATGATTTATCCTCACTCTGTATCTCTAGTCTGATGGGGGAGGTCAACTCTCATCATTAACCCATTCCAATATGGTGGTAGAGGAAATATTTCCTGTGTTTCAGGGTCCACTGTCTGCAGGGAAAAGGATGCTCTACCCTCAGACTATGTCCCCTCTTCTAAAACATTCAGTCTGGTGGACCCCATATGAGGGAAGAGGCACGGAGGTCCCCTTTAGTAGCCCTTAGTCTGATGGAGGAGGCCTATCTACCCCTGGTCTGGGTCATCAGTTTGACAGAAGAGGCAAGATCTCCATCTGGGGACACCCAACTCAGATGGAGGAGACAAGGCCCCTTCTTTCAGTCTGACGGGAGGCATACCCATCCTTGATCTGTGTCTCCTAACCTTATGGAGGAGGCAGTGGCGCCTGTGGGAGCCCCTGTCTGGCACTAGCGCCCCTGCCCCCTCCCGCACACTCACGGGCCACCTGTAGCTCCACCTCTAGCGTCTCGGTCTTGCCCTGCAGTGTGATGGTCTTGAGCGTGTAGCGGCCGGCGTCGGTGAGGTTCAGCTTCTGCACCAGCAGCGAGCAGTTGGGGAAGCCCACCTCCCGGCCAGTGTGCGCGGGGCCCGCGATCCAGTTCCCCGATGGCAGCTGGCTGAGCAGCCGGTTGGGCTCGGAGGCGGGCCCGCGGTACCAGGCGTAGACCAGCAGGTCCTTGGGGTAGCCCGGTACGGTCAGGGTCACGTCCTGGCCCTCCATTGGCTTGGTCGGCACGGGCACGATGGTCATGGCGACAGCTGCCGCTGGGGAGAGGGTGAGGGGGCTGGGTCAGCTGGGCCTGCGTGGGGCATAGCATCCCCCTCTCACCCCCAGCCGGCTCATCTATGCCTCCCCCAATGGCTGGTGCTTCCCCAGGCAGGGTGCTGGGATGGAGACAGAGGAAGGAGGTGACATGTGTGGCAGTGGAGGGTTTCATGTCCCAACAATGCCAGCAGGGAGCTATGTCTTCCCCCATCAGACTGGAAGATCCCAAGGGGTGGGGGCCATCTCTCCCCCATTAGACTAGGGATTTCCAGCCTTTAGGGGCTATCTCTCCCATTAAACTGGAAGACCCTAGAGAGTTAAGTCATGTCTCCTCCATCAGATTGGAAATTCCCAAAATATAGGGGCCATGTCTCCCCTATCAGATTGGAACTTCTGGAATATGGAGGCTGTGTCTCCCCCATTAGATAGGTGGGAAGTGTGTACCCCAGGTCGTGTCTCTTCTGTCAGATGAGAGACCTCAGAATGTGCGGCTCTAGTTTCCCATCATGTTGGAAGATTCCAGAGGGTGGGAGGCCATGTCTCCTCCATCAGATTGGAAATTCCATATAATTGGGCTGGGTCTTTCCAATCAGGCTGGGACCCTCAGAAGTTGGATGGGGGCATGTCTATCCCATCAGAATGGAAATTCCTAGAGAGTGGGGGGCCTGTACTCCCCCATCAGATTGGGAGTACCCCAAAAGTGGGAACTCTGTCTCCCCCATCAGGCTAGGAATTCTCAAAAAAAAAAAAAAAGGCCATGTCTCCTCAAGACCATGTCTCCCCCATCAGAAGAGAAAATCTCCCCCAGTGTGGACTGTGTCTCCTCCATCGGACTGGAAGCTCACTAAGGGTGGGTGTCATGTCTCCTCCATCACTGCTTGGAAATCCATGGACTATGAGGGGTTGCCTCTTCTCTCTGACTGGCAGCTCCTTGAATAAGGAGTCCATGCTTCCCTGTTCCAGGACCATCTCTCCAAGGGCAGAGACAGTACCTCCACCATCGGATCAGAGTATCCCCCAGGTAGGGGAAGGGTGGGGTCTCCCTTTCCTCTGTCTTCCCCCTGGCACCTGCCACAGGGTTGCCGACAGTCCAGGAGGCCCTTGGGGGCACGGTCCCCACTCCCTGCACATACCTGCACACCTTGGACATCCCCATCTAGGCCTGCACGGTCACCTGGTCCACCCCCTGTCTCGTCTCCTGCCAAGGGCCCAGATGGAGTGGGGCAGGAGGCACACTTACCTCTGAGGATGCCATTTCTGCTTTGGGTGAAAGAGTGTCCACCCTTGGGATGAGACCCAGCCTGTTAGTGGGAGGGAGGGTAGAGGGAGGGAGGGAGGGACTGTTCCCACCGTCCCCAGGGGATGGTGGCCACTTGGGAAGGAATCAAGGCAGAATTAATGAGACCCTAATGTCCAAAGCCACCATCCCCATGGGGACGAGAAAGTGTCCCCTGAGGATCCTGATGGCTCTGAAAACACCAGCTCTGCTCGCACTACCCCCCGCCCCCAGGTCATTCAAGGACAGAGGCAAGGCAATGCCTCCTCGCCTGTGTTTTTCCACTTGCCAACAATTGGCTGTGATTCCCCGTGTGTGTGTGTGTGTGTGTGTGTGTGTGTGTGTCTACGCCATCATCTGGGCCAGATAACTGGGTAATCTAGTTGGCTGCACAGAAGCTCAGCTGTGTGCAGGGCAGGGAATGGGTCAAGCCCCTAAGCAGCTGGTGACAGAATTTAGGACAGGGCACCCACATGAAGGGGTATCCGAATGTTCTCCCGCTTTGCCACCACACACGGTGGGACGTGTGGCCCATTTCCCACTTTGCCACCCCTCAAGGAACAAAGTCTGATCTGTCGTTCATTTTCCAGGTAACAAAGCACAGACTTTCTCCTTTTGTCACCTGGATGAAGTGGGGTCCACCTGATATGCCACTTTGTCACTTGGCCAACCAATGGGCTGAGAATCTCTTAATTCCAATTATCTGGTGGCCTGACTGGTGGTGGAGCAGCCAAACCATCACCTTCCACTGGTCAGGCTGGGGGCAACTCACCAGAGAGCTTGACTACCACCGAGGCGGATCCGGAAAGCAGGGTCTTGGGGTTCTTAGCAATACACGTGTACGTGCCCTCCTGGGCCGCTGTCATGCCGGTGATGTTGAGGTGGTCTTGACCATTCTTTAGGGCCCTCCCGTTGAAGGTCCACACATACTCGGGCTCTGGGCAGGACCGGGACATGCACCACAGGGTGAGGGACGTGTTGAAGTCGACCTTGATGGTGCAGCCTGTGCGGGTGACGGAATCCTGGAGGATGGCCACTCGTTCCGGGCCAACTGTGGGGGCAGGAGGGAGAGAAATGGGGCAGTCGAGGGAGAGGGGAGTGGAGGTGGGCACCCCTGGCTTTCTGTCCACCAGGCCAGGCCCCTGAGAACATCTGGACCTAATGGAGGGAAAAAGAGCTCTGGTCTTTTCGAATCCCACATCGATCTCTAACTTGATCTAGGATCTGGAGGATCCTTTCTCTCTCAGGGGATCTGTTTTCTCTTCTGTAAAAAGAGGGTGTTGGGCCAGACAAGATATTTTTAAAATCTATGGCTCCATTAAAAAAAAAAGAAAAAGAAGCCTAAATGATTGATTTCTAATAAGCCACTCTAAGAGTCTAGAATTCTAGGGCTTCAAGAGTCAATGTTTCTAAGATTCTAAGATTCTAGAAATCTATGTTTCTAAGATTCTAGAATTGGGTGGCTCTAAGATTTCAGAATTAGATTCTAAGATGCTAAGAATTTCTGCTTCTAGAGTTTCTAGGATTCTCAGAGTCTAGAATTCAGTGCTTTTTAAATCCAGAAGTCCCTGGTGGTAGGATTCTAGGCTCTAAGTATTTCTACATCACCGCTCCTCGCGTACCTCAGTGATTTATTTCCCCCGGCTTCCACACTGCGTGTCTGCTGTCCCTGGGAACAACTCCACGCTCTGGTTATGTGTTTATTTTATCTCCCCTCCCATTCGACCTCTAGCTTCCAGCCAGTCCTGTGTCCCTTCCCTGTGCGTATTGCCTCAAACTGAAGGATTATTCCATTTCAAAGGTGGTCTTTAGTCCTTGGGAGATGGGTCAAGTGTGTTTTCAGAGGGATCCCTGGTTTCTAAGCTCAGCTTAGCTGTGTGCCCCTGGGCGCCCTCTCCTGGCCTCAGTTTCCCCGTCTCTGAGGTTGGGCCCTGGGGGTCTCTGGTGGGGCCGGGAGGACTCACAGTACACGGTCAGGTTGACAGGCTGGCTGCGGCTGACACTGACTGGGTTCCAGACCTCGCACTGGTACGCCCCAGCCTCCTCCCTGCGGATGCCATGCCTGGTCAGTACCCGGCCGTCGGGGGACAGACCGAGCCGGACGGCGATGGGCAGGGCCTCGCCGTTGAAGAACCAGCGGACCTCAGCGGTGCTGGGGCTGCTGCACATCAGGTGCAGAGTGTCTCGGCGCTCCACCAGCGCTGTGTTGTTGGCGATGACCACGGGCTGGGCCAGCATCTCTGTGGGGTAAGAGACAGAGGGGGAGGGGGCCGGGCACCGCCTGCTCCAGGGGCCTCTCTCTCCCCAGGCAAGGGGCATGGCTGGATCCTGGCGGTGCCCTGGTCCCCCCAGCCAGAGGGACAAAGAATGGGATAGGAGGCGGGTCCAATCCTGAAAGCCATCCTGAAGGAGGTGAGCATTTTAATGTTATTTTAGGTCTTTGTTTTTGATGGTTTTAAAATTTTTTAGAGTTTTTTCTTTTTAAGAGGGATCGGAAGGGAGGCGGGACGGCCCGGCTGGGGTCCAGGGGGGTCTGGGGGGGTGTCTCACCATAGACCTGCAGGTGTCCGTAGCCCACCTCCGTCTGAAACTGCCTGTTGAGAGTCTGCAGGATGTAGGTGCCCGAGTGCCCGGGCACGACTCCCTGGATGTCCAGGCCGCCGTCGGGGCGCACTGCCTCCCGTCCTGAGTGGGCTGGGCCGGGGGTCTCGTCACCCGTGCTGACGATGTAGCTGGCCACCAGGTAACTCAGGCTGAGCGTGGGCCCCGCGTACCAGTTGTAAGCGAGCAGCTCTCCCGAGAGCCCGTGGACAACCAGTGTGACGTTGTCCCCCTCGGCTGGCCGGGCGGGCTCCGGGGTGATGGAGATCTCAGCCCCCGCGCTCAGGAACGTGGCTGAGGACAAGGAGGCAGAGGGGGTGGGATGAGGTGGGCTTGACTGCCCCCCTCATCGATGGAGGAGGAGACATGGGCTCCTGGCATGCGTGTTCCTGGTATACAGTAAGTGCTCAATACATGTTACCAGGTGCAGAGTCTCAGTCCTGGGGATGTTCTGAGGATTGAATTCAATGGGCTGTTCATAAGGCCTTGTGGGACCTTGGGACTTCATGGGACCCAGAGGGTCCTCCCACTCTGAGAGTCACAAACTGAGGCTCACAGATTGGGCTGGTTCATCAGGCGCCTGAGCCCGACCCCCAGTCCAGTGCTCTTCCTCTGCCCCCGCAGGCTTGACCGCGGCAGAAAGGAGGGATGTGATTAACACACTCCACCCCTTTCCTTCTCGACCCAGCAGATAAGCCCTGAACCCGACGAGCTGGTCGGGGCTGCTTGGGTCTGACCCGAGTGTGGTTGCCTGGAATGGGCGGCCGTGGCAGTTCTCACGTCACAAGTCCTTACACGCCTGGCCTGGTTTCCGGTACTTTCCAGGCTGATAAAGCACAGCTACGAGTGAGTGTTCTGGGTCCAGCCCTCGGCCCTGCCACTTTCTGGCTGTGTGACCCCGGCCACTGACTCCACCTCTCTGAGCCTCAGGTGTCTCGTCTATGAAGTGGGGGTCGGGAGTGGTGACACGTGGAGAGCACCCAGAACAGCTCCAGGTGTACAATAAATGCTGCTTATAATGACCTTCCAACAACCCTCTGAGTTAGGCCCATTACATAGATGAGGAAACTGAGGCTGAGAAGGGGAAGGTCAAGATGTGGCCCAAAGCCACATCCTCAGGGAGGGGCAGAGCTTCTGGTTAGAACTCACCCGAGTTAAGCTTTCATAGCTGAATCCTCCCTTGCCCTAGCCTATGCCCTGGTCTAGAAATCTCCAAAGCCTACCATGCAAACCTTTCTGGGAGGCTGTCCCCAGCCCGACCCATGCTGGTGAGCAAAGTGTGCCTGCTTGAAGCAGAGCTGCCCTCCCTATGCAGCATGCTGGATTTCTGGCTCACACCTTCCCTCCTGGGGCTGGGGGTCCCCCCTTCCCTAAGGCTATGGGGGGCTGAGGTTCCGGGGGGCACCATTGTCGCTCACCACTCAGGAGGAGCCAGCTGCATCTGGTCAGCGCCATCTTTCGCCCAAACCCGGGTCTTGGAGACAGTGGCATTGGGGTCCGATGCTCCGGGGCCCTCCCTGGTTGGGGCTCGGCTCCGTCTGGCGCAGGACCTGGGAGGGTTCGGCGATTTGGAGCCGGGGGAGATCACCTGAATTTGGAGGGATCAAGTCACTGAGGATCTGGGGCCCCGTTTGGGTACCAGAGCGGGCGTGGCAGGCACAGGCCAGGGGGCACGACCCGGTCAGGCCTCCTGGGGCGCTGCCGAACCTTCTTTGTGCTGAGGGCCCGGGTTTGGTACCAGGAGGAGAACCAGGTCACCAAGGAGGAGAGAGGAGGGGCGGGGGAAGATTTTAGGGCCGTTCTCACTTGCGGCCCAGGGCCTGGCCTCCGTGGTGAGTTTGGGGGTCACTGAGGAATAAAACCAAGAAACAACGATTGCCCTTTTCCCAGCCTCGATGCTGTGGGTGACCTTGAGGTGTCATCTCAGTGGATGTCCTGTGAGGGGGGTAGTGTCAGAATCCCCATTTGCAGATGGGGACACTGAGGCACCGGGCAGGGGCTCTGACTTGCCCAAGTTCCTGCAGGGAGAGAGGATTCGAACTCTGCTCTGATTCCAAAGCCACACAGAAGGGAAGGAGGCGGGGCGGCTGTACTCTGTCTTCGGGGCTCTGCTTCTTCTTTTTTGGTGAGGAAGATTGTCCCTGAACTAACATCCATGCCCACCTTCCTCTGTTTTGTATGTGGGATGCCGCCACAGCATGGCTTGACGAGCGGTGCGTAGGTCCACACCCGGGATCCGAACCCGCCAATCCAGGGCTGCCAAAGCGGAGTGCGCAAACTTAACCACTATGCCAGTGGGCTGGCCCCGGGCTCTGCTTCTTGTCGGCCTCCTGCACGGAGCCGAGAAAGCCACACTCTCTCGCTTCCCCTCTCGAGGCCTTGTTTTCCTCATCTGTCAAATGAGTGTATGTGGAGACTTTGGGGCCAGAGTCCAGTGTTGACCTTCGCTCTGCGCTTCCCCGAAGCGGGGCTGAGGGCAGCTCCTTGCTGGGTCTCCACCTACTGCTCTGAAGAACCGGGATGGTGTGGACCTACTCGAGCTTGTTGAGAAAAGTTAGCGAGGTGCTATGTGTCAGGAATTTAGCCAGCGCCTGGCAGAGCCCGGCCCCAAATGAGAGGTCTGGTTGGTGTTACTGTTATTAAAAGCACGAGCGCGTGACCTTGTTCCACTCTTCCCTACCTCCGTGACCCTGGGCAAGTGTCAGAGCCCACTGGGCCTCAGTTTCCTCATCTGTGAAATGGGAATGGTGGTGGTACCCACCTCATAGGGCTGTTGTGAGGATTAAATGAGTAACTTCTGTGAAGTCCTTACAACAATGCCTGGCACAGAGAAAACGCTCAATGAGTCACTCATTCATTTATTGGACAAATATGGAATGAGCATCTACTGCCTGTCAGGTGTGGTTCTGGGCCCTAGTAGATAAAGTCTGTGCCCTTGAGGGGCTGACATTCGTGGGGTAAACAAATTAAATGTAAAATCTAGTCCATGTGGGATGGAGATAAGTGCTATTGGAGGGGAAAAATAAGGCAAGGAAGGGGTTTTGGGAATTTTAAATTGGGGCTGGGAGAGGGGCTCAGGGAAGGTGTCTCTGGGAAACTGATGCTGGGCAGAGGCTTTGGGGGGATCTGGGGAAGAGCGGTTCTGACAGACGTGTTATTCTCTATATCTTCTGGCTTCTGGGCCCTGGTCCCTCGGAGGCCCCGGCAGCCTGCGTCTGGGCAGGAGGCCATACCCGTGGCTCACCTGTCTTGGTTTGCTCCTCGGCGCTGTGTCCTGAGCCGCCCTGGCAGGGAGGGGCTCTGATGGGAGTGGTGGGTGACGAGAGGTGAGGGTGACCTGGCGCCTGCTGCTCCCCCACCCCGTCTGCGACCTCATCTCACCCTCCTCCGTCCTGCCCCAGCCCTCTCCCCGGAGCCCCGGGAGCTCGTCCAGTGCCATTCAGGACGCCTCCCCCGGATGTCCCTGGGCACCTCTCACTCACCTCGTCCCAGACTGACCTCGGCATCCTCCCCCCGACCTGCTCCTCCTCCTGGTCGTCTCAGCAGTGATGACGCCACTGTCCGCCCGTCAGTGGGTCACAGAGACCCAGGCCTCGTCCCTGACTGGCGCCTCCCCGCCCCCCCAGCAGACAACAGCCTGTGGCGTCTGCCTCTGAAGTGTCTCTTCTGTGTGCATCTTTCTCTCCCTCCTCATGGCCCCTGCCTTGGTCCAGCGCCCCCTGCCCCGTGTCTGGCTGCCCCGTGTCCCAACTCCTCCCTGGTCTCTGGCCCTGGTCTCATTCCTCCCAGAACCTGCCATGGCTCCCCAGTGCCCTCAGGAGACAGCCCAGCTACCCACTGTGGCCCACGAGGGCCTGCATGGCCTGGCCCCTGCCAGCTTGTCCAGACTCAAGGACATCCCTTTCTTCTGGGAACTCTCTGCTCTGGCTTTTCTGTCTCTCCTGCGCTTCCTCCACCCAGCATATCCCTCTGTTTCCCTCTGCTCTATTTCATCGCCTGCCCAACAACCCCTCCTCCTCCAGGAAGCCCTCCTGGACTCTCAGGCTGGGTTAGATGCGCCCTGGGTCCCCAGTCCCAGCCCTGACCACCCTGGGTCCTCCTTGTCAGGGGCAGGTCTGTCTCCCCATGACTGCGAGCCCTGGGAGGGCAGGACCAGGGCTCTTGCGGTCACCACCGTGTCCCCAGCGCTGCCCAGCACAGGGGCTCAGAGAGTGTTTGTGGAACCGGACACCAGGTGTGGGTGACACAGAAAGAGAGGAGTCTCCGGGGAGGCCAGGGTTTCTGGTGATCTGCGTGACGAGGCCGTGGCTCCGAGAGGTTTGGGGCAGATGTGGCTTTCGTCCAGGCTCCGCCCACAGCATCACACCGACCCTTCTCGGCTGTCCCCGTGCTTCCCCTCCCGCCCCCATGCCCAACTCCCGGGCCCCTCCTCTGATGCTCCTGGACACGAACCCGATCCTTGGTCCAGTCAAGAGCTGCGGTTTCGTGGGCACCTACTGTGTGTGGGTCACCATCATGAATAGGACAGACAAACCCCCGCCCCACGGAGCTGACCTTTCATTTGGGGAGACACTCAATAAGCAAATAAACACAAACACATATAACATTACATCAGCTGGAGACAATGTCAGGGGCAAAAATAAAGCAGGGGAGGGATGGCAGCAGCCAGGGCACTGGTTTACAGAGGGCAGCAAGAAGATGTGGCAGGAGACGACATTGGAGTAGAGACTTAATAAGGAAGCTGCTGACCCTGGAGGAACAGTATTCCAGGAGAGGGAACAGCGAGTGCAGAGGCCCTGAGGCAGGCGTGTTTTGGTGAATGTGAGGAGTGAAGGGGCCAGGGGGGCTGGAGCGGAGTAAGCGAGGGCAGAGCAGGAACGGGGCGGATCCCGGAGGGCCTCGTGGACCCAGAGGACTCTGGCTTTTCCTCTGAGAGGGGAGCCAGGCTTTGAGCTGAGGAGGGATGGGAGCTGACAGCGTTAATAGGATCTTCCGGCCGCGTGTGGGGAACAGACCGTGGGAGGGGAGGGGAGATGCTGGAGGCTGTGAGGAGGTGGCTGCAATGGTTCAGCTGTTTGTCCAACGTGGTAGCCTCGAGCCACTGGTGGATCCGAATTGAGACAAGCGGTGAGTGAAAAATACACCAAATATTGAAGACTTACTGCAGACCAAAAAAAAAAAAAAAAAAAAAGAATGTAAAAGAGATCATTGATCTTTTATACGGATTCCACGTTGAAATGGCGTACGTTAGGTAAAACAAATTCATTTCACCTGTTTCTTTTTACTTTTCTTCGTGTGATTCTAGAACACTTGGCTCTCACCACGTTTCTACGGGAGGCGCTGGACCCGGCAGGCAGGGGCAGTGGCTGGACCAGGGAGGAGAGAAGTAGTCGAACTGGAGATGTATTTTATTAATGATCCTATGACTCACTGTGGCATCGTCGGCTTTACCTGCACCACCTCCCTCCCCGAGAACCCATTTTGCAGATGAGGAAACCGAGGCTCAGGGCCTTTGCCTCGGGAGGTTGGAGAGGGTAAGTCTTGTCTTCTCCGCCCAGCCAGCCAGGGACAAGCTCCTCTGAGCTCGTTTTGTCCACTCTCTCCCCACCCCCAGCCCTCTTATCTCATCTTACTCCCTAGGGAGCAACTCATTCTGTCTCCTGGCTAAGACTCTGCCCACCGCTGACTTCATATTAGATGGAAACCTGGGCCTGGGCCCCATGTGCTGTGCTCCCTGGGTAGAGACCTCGACGCTGAGGGGTTGGCCCGAGCTAATCACTTATTGGGCTGGGGCAGGTTTCTGACCCCCCTCCCTCCATCTCGCAGGGCGAGGCCGAGGGTGCTGCAATATTTACTCAAGGGATCACGAGGGTGTGGCTTCCTGTGCCGGCCTGGCAAGCTCTGGGCTTGGCCCTGGGAAGGCTGTTCCTGGGGAGAAAGGACCCCATGTCCCCTAATTCCTCACCCTGGGAAGAGGACCCAGGCTACTGTGCAGGAGAGGACAGTGGATCGGAGGAGGCAGCCTCAGACCTTCGCACAGGCTGCTCCCTTTGCCTGGATACTCCACCCCCCATCTCATTCATCTGGGGTTTTCCAAGTCATTCAATCATTTAACCAATATTTATTGAGCACTGACTCTCTGCCAGGTTGCGTTGGGGATACAGGCAACATCCCTTCCCATGTGGGGTTAATCCTATTGGAGGGAGATGAGCAGTAACCAAAAAACTGATATAGCAGGGGAGATAAGGACTATCAAAAAATAAAACAGAGCAAGAGGAGAGGGAGTGACGGGGGTTTTAGCTAGGGAGGTCAAGGAGGGCATTTCTGAGGAGGTGACGTGTGGGCTGAGACCTGAAGGAGGTGACCAAGGCTGTCTGTGAACATCTGGTGGAAGAGTATTTTGGGCAGAAGGCACAGCAAGTGCAAAGGCCCTGAGGCAGAAAGGTCTTTGCTGAGTGTGAGGACAGCAAGGAGGCTGGTGTGGCTGGAGCTGGTGAGGGAGGGGCACCCGTATTCCAGAGGGAGCCGGGGACCCAGAGAGCAGGGCTTTGGATGCAAGATGGCCCATTATAGATGAGTCGGTTGATGGTAAGGCCCAGCTTGGGGTAAGACAGCCCATGAAGGACAGAATGGAAGGGTCTAGGTGTGGAACCAGTGGCTGCAGGGGGCTGGGTTGGTAAGTGTGAGGGGCTAGGCTTTTCTAGAAGGTGGTCGAGGGCAGGAAGGAAGGGAGTTAGGGAGATGGAGGGGAGCAGAGAGAGTGCCAGGGTTCTCTGGGGACCCCAGGAGGTCCAGAAGGGCCTGGGAGGGGGGAGCTGGCTAGGTGCCCTTCTTTTTATCCATCAGGAATACGGGAAGGGGCTGGACTTGGATTCAGAGTTGTGGTTAAAAAACAATTTAAAAACTACTTTGTATTCTGGAAAAGTTCCAAATTTCACACACTCATCCAAAGCAGAGGAAAGAACAATGCACCCCCCCCATACCCATCCCCCAGCTCACGGCCAATCTTATTTCCTCTCCCCCCTCCACGCCCCTCTCCCATAGGAAAGCAAATTCCAGCCACCATATCATTGTATTCACGGACACTACAGCGTGTATCTCTCCGAGATAAGGACTCATTAACAAAAATACTCACAATGTCATTATTTCACCTGAAAAGTGAAAGTAAAATGAACAATGAACAATTCATCAGTATCTTCAAATACCCAGTGTTCAAATTTCCAATCCGTCTCACGAATGTCATAATATTTTTTTCAGCTTCACTGGGGCATACACAGTCGTCCCTCGGTATTCGCGGGGGATTCGGTCCAGGACCCCGCGGATACCAAAATCCGCGGATGCTGAAGTCCCGTATATACAATGGCGTAGTATTTGCATATAACCTACACTCATCTTGCCGTATTCTTTAAATCATCTGTAGATTACTTATCATGCCTAATGCAATGTAAAAGATATGTAAATAGTTGTTATACTGTATTATTGAAGGAATAATGACAAGAAAAAAGAGGCCACGTGTTCAGTGCAGACCAACCATCCTAGGCCTTCCGATCAGCAGTTGGATCCGAGGATGTGGAATCCGCAGAGCGGAGGGCCAACTGTCATTTCCATACCCTAACCTTCACTTTGTGCAGCCATCACTCAAATCTAGTTCTAGAACGCTCTGATCACCCTGGAAAGTTTCCTCCTGCCGGGATCCAAAAATGGTCCAATATTTTGAACTTTTGGCTTCAGCAGTGGAAGGCTTTCCTCAGACTGAATCTTCTGTGGGACCCCAGTGTGTATAGCAGATACAAACACCTCCCTCCCTCCCCCTCCTCTGGGTACAGGAAAACGCCTACACCCCATCCATGCAACAGAGGGACGGTGAGGGGCGTCTACACCTCTGCTGCTGCCAGTCTGCCTACCCTGCACC